CTCATTTCCCACCACYGGAGGACTCTCTTATCAACTCCTCAGAATTATGGTGCCCGAACCAAGCTCAGCTCCCCTTGCTTCTTCTCTGCTTCCTGAGTCTCTCTCTTAATTTCACAGGCACCGTCCCAGTTAGCCACAGTTGAAGGTGATGGTCCCTGGCCTTCCCTTTGTCTGAGTCCTACTGCTCGGGGACGTGGCACCATCCAGGCTGTCTGGCCTCCTGGATAGAGCTCTGCAGCACTTTCCCAGAGCGCCTGGCCCCGCTTGTGTGTGGTTGATTCCACCCTGAAAACTCTGTGTGCCCCACAGCCAATTCCAAGTGCCTCCGAATGACGGTCCACTGTCCCTAGTGCCTTATGACCGGTGGTGAAGACCTGCACACTGTGGAGACCACCAAAGCACTCTGGACCACAGCAGGCCTCAGTCTACCTTGGGTCACCACCTGGCCAGCCTGTGCCCAACGTCTGCCCGTCACCCCAGGGCTGGAGTCTGAAGTCTGCCCAGAATGCCCGAGGTTGGTGGTAAGTGGCCTTCTCCGAAGCAGTGGGACAGCTGAGTAAATGGCTCTTTGCTTTCAAAAGGAAAAGCTCTCTTCCAGTTTTCAGAACTCACCAAACCAGCTTTCCTTGTTTCTGAAGAAATGAGGAAGCAGGCTTTGGGCACCCAGGCTCCCTGCTCAGGTGTGTGTACCCAGCAGAAGGTGACATTTGGAGAGGGCAGGTGTGTTGACCCACCCGGGGTTGGGCCTGGTCACGCTGGAAAGCTCCCTGACCTTGCTCCCCTACACTCCCCGGCTGCGATGGAGGCAATCTGCAGCCTCCCAGAGGACTGAAGGGACATGTGTGACGACTGTATCAAGGGTGTGGTTTATGTGTCTGGTTCTGGGGGATTCCTGGTGCAGGGTGCATCCAGATGCATTTCCACTAACAGGAATCACTGAAACTCTCATCCCTGAATGAGACCTAGAGTTTAGCTCATAGTGATGCACAAACACCGGCTCCTCCCTCTCACTGGATCTGCCAGGGCGACGGTGCCAGGAGTGGACGGAATCTCTACCATCTTGGCAACCCTCCCCCAGTCTAAAATCATTTCAAAATTTACAAAAATATATTTTAAAACGGCTAGCTTCCTCCCTCTCCGTGTTGGGCGGGGGCAGCCTGCCAAGCCTTCCCAAACACTGTCCTGCGGAGTTGGCGAGACAGCCCTGTGAGGTAGAAAGCTACATTTTACAGATGAAGGACAGCTGCACACAGGCCTGAGGTGGACTGAGCCTGGGCCTAAGTCCTAGTCCTTGCATCTGGGGCGAGCCGAGCCATGTCCCCATACCACCGCAACATGCAAGCCTAGACATACACCTGCAGACACTCAAGCCACACAGGAATTCACGCACAGCTTGCCAATCAGCGACTCAGGGTGAACTCCTTCCTTCAGAAACTTGCTGTGAGTTGTTCTTCTCACTGACTGTATTCAGCTGGCTTGGCCTGTCCGTGTAGGCATTAAGAGCCCACGTGTCCTCCAAGGCCAAACTGGCAGAAGTGCTTTGCGTCTAACCCAGATGTAGCCCCTCATCTCCGAGAAGTCAGGCCCTCTTGTCTCTGTGCCTGCCTCCTGCCCTAAGAGTTCAAGTCCCTGTGGGCAAGTCCAGACACACACTCACCTACCTTATTAGTCAGCTTCACGTTCCTGTAACAAAATACCTGAGACAGGCTAATTATGAAGAAAGGGTCTATTCATAGTTTGGGAGGTTCATGTTCAAGATCAGAAGGTCGGACCTTGGCCTCTTTTTGGTGGAGAGGGGATGGCAATGACGGGAGTGCCTTTAGGRGAAGTGCCACATTTTAAGTCAGGAAGCAGAAAGAGAGAAGTGCCACATTTTAAGTCAGGAAGCAACTCCCGAAAGTACCACCCTGGAGACTATGTCTGCCACATGTGGAACTTTGAGGGACACCAACCCACTCATTCATTTATTCATTCATCTGTTCCTTCAGGCTTATAGAATAAAGAAACCAGACTTATACCCAGTCTGTGAAATGCAAACCAAAGAACCACAGGCTCTAAAATTAGCTGGAGGAACTGCAGGGTCAATTCTTCCAAAAAAGATATTYATCTTAACTACCCCAAGGAGTACTTTTAAAACACAAATTTCCGGGTCTCACCCTCAAAGTACTGCTTCTGGAGGGCTGAGCATGGCCAGGCAATCTGCATTTCTCAACCCCTCGGCCCCCTATGACCTGGATGCCCTCCTGGGTCTGAGGTTTCATTTAATAAACACCTCTGGAAAGGCACAGCGCCCTCTGCAGGAGGACCCCAGACGGCGGCGCTCGCTGTCACGGCCCCAGGAACCCTTTCCTGTTTACAGACCCAAGGTGCTTCTTTGAAATTTCACTCCTTTATTTCTGTTCTGTTCCCTGGTACGAAATGACACTTACTCCTCTCTCAGGACCAGCCTGCAAGTGTTTGAAGGGTGTTGGGTTTCCTAAAGTCTTCTCTACACTAGGCCAAATTACCCTTCTTCCTCTCTTTTCCTTCTTTTTTTTAAGAGGAATGCAACCTCCTTATCCTATTTCAAACGTGAACCTCAGAGATGGGGTAGAATCCGCACGAGCTTTGGCCTGCAGTCTGAAGGGACGAATTGTTTTTCATGCTCTGGGCTCTTTATAATGGGTCCAGGGCAAAGGTTCTGTACACATGAGAATCACCTGGGCTTGAAGCTGCAGAAAAGATCCGCTTAGTTCTGCCCTCCAGAGAGCCTGATGCCATTGGTCTGGGTTCTGCCTGGTGGAGGTTTTTTAAAGGTTCCGGGGTGACTTTAACAAGTAGCCTCCATCCTACAGGTATGGAGGGACAGGGGCTTCCCCTGAGCTCACGCACACCCTGCCTTTTCCCTCTCAGTCCCTGCCCAGCCTGGCCTCCCTCATCATGCACTTGAGAAATCGACCAGCTGACCTTGACTGCTGAGCTTTACATTCACCCCTGAGGAGCATCGGCTATTTGGTTTGGCCTGCTATTGCAAGGTCACTGAAGGTCATGTCAACTGAGCTACACATTGACTAGTTTTGAGTCTTTCACATGCTTTTGTTGTCTTCAGGAGAACACAGGTAGAAGTATGGCCCCTTGGAAGATTATTAAGGAAGACCCTTTGGGAATCAAATGACAATAGCTAATGTTTAAGCAACTGGATGTTCTTTTGCAGGTAAGCGCCAGATGCTAAAGATTTATAGTCACAGACCCATTAACACGGCATTTGTTCCTAAAACGCAATGTGTCGGGCAATGCTTCAACGTTCTCTGGCTGTGCCCMTTAACGTAGGAGCCTGCCGAAGCCACTGCGGTAGGATGTCAGCGGACCACCTATTGGCATTTCCTACATGTGACCTCTGCCACAGTGTCGGGAAGGTCTGTACTGATACACGTCTGGCCAGAAGACAGCAATGGAAAGGTCTCTGACCCCTTACAAGAGCGTCATTCACCTTTGTCCAGTGACGAAGCAACATGGCAGAACGTGAAATTTCCAGGTAAAGTTTGGGAAGTTAAATTTTGTAGATTTTTTTTAAAATTTTTGAAAAGTGGTGTTTCTTTTACATGCACAAGATTCTTGAAGTGATATTTCTGCTTTTTCCCAATTTCAGTGAGCTGACTTTGTAGTACTTGGGACTTCTCAATTCTGTGCTCCTCCCGCCACCCCCCCACAGGGCCTCTGAGTAAAATGCTTCCTCCTTGTTCTTGCAAAGGATGGAAAAGTGCAGCACACAAATTATCCTCCAGGTATAAAAAAAGGTTCAAAGTTGGGCTCCTCTGAGGGGATCAGACACTCACACCCGCCTCAGAGCAGGAGAGCAGCTCTGTGAAGTGAGACTTGAAGGCCACAGTCGGGGGTCACCTGAGGCAAGACCACCCCAGACAGGGCCCTGCAGGCCCCATAGTCATTAAGTGTCCCCAAGGCCACTTTCAACCAGATTCTCACCCATTGCGAGGACATGGACCCCAAGGGGTTGACAGCTATCTAAAGCAGAGAAGGGCTTGCTAGCTTTTCCCTGCAATCCACTTCCCATGTGTCTACTACACCTGGCTTTAAAAAATCCCATAGAAATTGTTTTTGATAGARGGTTCTATTTTAGGTAAAGGTGCCTCAGATTTTTCCTTCTACACCATTCAGAGTTTTTCCAGATGTTTCTGTATCTCCCTCTCATCTCTCAGGTACTGAGTGTATTTGGTCTTTAGTGGGCAGATTTAACATCATTCTTAACCAATCTTCTGTTGACGGACGTTTGGGCACTTTCTAGTGTTTTATTTATGCACTGCATGTCTGTCCATTCATTTCATATAGCAAAATACATCCTTACGATAAATCAAGGTAAAAGTGTATATGTGTGTGTGTGTGTGTGTGTGTGTGTTGCACAGAGCTTTGTAGATGTCAAAATGCTGTTAAACAAAAAAACTGTCATAAGACACACAGGCACTTCACAAATAACTCCAAAGCAAGCAGCAGTGAAATATTGCCAACACCCCTCAAACCCTCCATGGGCCTCTACTCTTAGAGCCCTGCCACCCCTCCAAAAGCAATTACCTTTATTTTGTGGTAATTATCATAAAAAAATGCAGTTTGAAGAATTGTAAACCAAAGGGGAGAAAAAATGAAGATGAGATTTAAATAGGTGTAGAATTTAACTAAAAATCTTGTTAGGGAGCTGCGCATCATGGTGCACTCCTGATATTCCAGAGATGTGGGAGGCTAAGGCAGGAGGATCACAAGTTTGGGGCTGACCTCAGCAATTTAGTGAGATCACAAGTATCTTAATGAGACTCTTTTTGGAAATAAAAAGGCTGGCATTGTAGCTCAGTGTTAAAGCACCCCTGGGTTCAGTCCCCAGTACCTTTTTTTTTTTTAAATCTTTTTAGGGCTGGCTCGTCTTAAGCCAGTTTCTTGCCCTTGACCTCTGCTCTGCTCTGGGCTGCAGTGTCAAATGGCACGGAGGTGCCGTTAAATATCCGTGTACTCACCACAGGGCCAGTCGTTGCTCGATTTCCTTGAGAAAATTGGTATGAAATTTGTGCAAAGGTTCAAAATTCGGGAAAATGAGACTTTTCAATGTTTCGGGCATGGCGTCCTCTGTGCTCACGGTGCTATGAAACCACTGGGAACGAAAGAAGGACGAGTTAGAGGTGAGAAGGTGGACGATGGCACCTGTCTCCAGAAGCCACACCTGTGCAGCCCAGTGTGACTGGAGGCCAGGGCCTCCGGCCTCCCCCAGATGTTCAGCCTGCCAGGGGCAGCAGGGGACCGGGCCTTTCCCTTTYCTGTCTGACGGAGAATGTCCTTCTCTATATAATCGCTTTCTAAAATCTGTCACCCAAGGACTGTTGAAGCCAGGACAAGTCTCTTAAATGGGCCGCGCCTGCGTGAAAACCTCCGTTCCRGCCCACTCCTGGACAGTCACCCCGTAGCAGCTGCCACCTCTGTTCCTACATCAAGATGCTGAGCGTGCAGGTGGCCAACCCGGGGACAGAGCAGCTGCCTGCACAGTCACTCTGGTTGTAGAGGTATGTGGGGACAAGATTCCACAGTGTGTACGGGGCACCTGCTGAGGCCAAACACAAGACGCATCTCAGGATATACAAACTCAGTACCACGTACCTCCCAACGGGCAAGTTTTCCCAGAATCCAAAGGTCAGAAGGTCATCTGGAATGCCCGGACTTTGTTTCCAGGACTAAACAGGACTGATTACCATAATGAAAGGCAGCCTCTGGCAGATTTTGCTGACATAACTTCACTTATTGTCACAGATAATATGAGGCTCCCGTTCATTCTGAGGTCGCCCTTGAGCTCAAGAATAATCAGTTACGCTTGACAATCGGCAAACCCCAAATGTTCCAGATGGGTGCACGCACACAGCAAAACGTTCAATTTTAATTTTCTCTATCTTAGGAGTGTCTTTCCTTTACATTTGAAAACCACAATTACAAAAATTTTTATGGAGTATATTCCGAATTTAATATACTATTAGCATTTAATTTTCTATAACTCAGAATTAAAATCCTCCAATCGAAGTCAGAGAACCTAACGTTTAATGAGCTCCAGCTTCTCGCCAAGCTGAGTATTAGTTTAGATAAGTCATGTAATTTGATGCTGTTGGGGAAATACTGCACGTACCGAAGTGATGACTTCAAGATCCTTCAGATACGTCCGCTCAGTGGTGGACACCTCTTTAGCGATGAAGTATGCCTTGTCGGTTGGGRATCTCTGCAAAATCCATCAACGGAAACAAGACACAATGATAGTTCTTGAGTGAAAGTCTCTGAGAATGTCCTGATTATTAGAAAGTCCTAGTTAAAGCTACGTTATTAACTTAAGATCTTTGGTTGGCCAGCATCAAGACTAAACACACTCTTATTTTTGTATTTAAAGGAACTAGAAAAAAATAATGGATCTCTCCATTGAGAATATGGTCAATGTTGGAACGTTTCCTTCCACGTAAAGATTACCATCCGCTAAAGGAATCAGATTAGTAAAATGTCAGTCAGTCAGCCTTTCAATGGCTTGCATTGTCAATGCTTGTTAAGTTTCAAAAAATGGGAGTTCTACACTTGTGGGAATAGCAAGGATGGCTGGATTGAAAGGGACCAGGGTGCCATCAGCTTGTGATATGGTGACGGGATTCCCTGGAGTTGATCAGTGAGCACCTGGGAGCCGATTGGCCATTGGGTTTTCTTTCTCTTTAAATAGCAAGTAAAAGGAAGTCCCCACAGCCTGCCATCCTCCCAGGGGACTCCACATCATCCCACCTCTGGGTACGTACGCAAAGAAACTGAAACAGAGACTCAACAGATCCAGGCACACCTGTGTTCAGAAAGGCACTATTCATACCAGCAAGAGGTGGGAACAGCATGTCTGCCCTGTGGCAGACAAATGAGAAACTAAATGTGGCACATACAGGGGACTCTTACTCCACCTTAAAGAGGAAGGAAATTCTGACCAGCTACATCATGGATGACCCTTGAGGACATTACGATGAGTGGAACAAGCCAATCACAAAAGACAAATACCTATGATTCCACTCATATGAGGTCCCAAGAGTCGCCAAACTCATTGAGACAGAAGGTAGAATGGTGATTGCTAGGGCTCTAGAGAGGGAAAAGTTTTGAAGATGGACATGACATTGAGAATGTATGAATGCGACGGAATTTAAACCAGTACATTTTATGTTATTTCACTTTACTGCAATAAAAACACACGCACACGCTAGCCAGTTCCTGTGGGTACCTTTCTCCGGCCCTCCTCCTCGTCGTCCGTCCTGGGACACGCCTGGTCATTCAGCAGCGGGCTGATCAGGGGAGAGGCCTGCTTGGTGTCAGGGCTCAGGTTGGGAGACAAGGTCACGTTGGTGGGGGCCGTTCCTCCCTGTGAGTTGATGGACAGCTCTGAAAGGTGAGGGCTACCAGTCAGGGAGCCTGTTTGGGGATGAAAAGTTTTAAAGAAAAAAAAAAAAGTAATTTCTTCTGGGACTTGATTTCCATTCACAACTTTTCACTTTTTCCRATCTTTAGAACCTTGGCTACCACGTGGGAAACAATGCATTCATTATTTTCTRGTTTTTTCCCTAAATTGTGGCTATCTTAATAGTATGCATAATTCAATGGTGCCTYAGTTATGTCATTAAGGATAAGACAGAACTCTGCACAATAACAATTAAAATAGCTTAAAAGCAAAGGGCATCCCACCATCACATTTTCATCTCTTAACTACTGCTTTTATTTTTAAGAATTACCCAAGAAAGACAAAGTATCTCTATAACAAGAAGACATGGAAAAATGAGCAGAAAATAGAACTAAACTAACAGGCATCTAAAGGACTGGTGTACCAAGGACAGACTACATCTTATAACAATGGGCACAGCTAACAGAGAGGTCAAGCAACTAACTCCCCACTCTACGAAGAACAGAGCAAGCTTGTTATACCTGGTGATGTCATTCCATGTCTGTCACTGTTTGGGACAGAAACACTAGCATCATATTACATGCAATAATGGTCATTTGAAAATGCAAGCTGGAGGTCATTATATTATCACAGTTCCTCTTTATGAGTCAAAAGCAACAGGTAGGAAATCAGTCCTTGAAAAAGGATACCACATTAAATAATATGAAAATGCACACATTACCCATTATATGTCAGCCGGGGACGATGGTGTGTACAGGGCGCTCTGCCAATGTAATTCTGCCAACATCTATACCTCAATCCATTGAGGCTACATGGGGTATTTCAAAATATATTTCTAACCTGTTTGTTTTGACCTAACATGTACATTTATAATTCTAGTGCAGATGAGCTAGTTAGTGTTGGTAAACAAAGTTACCATTCTAAGGAAAGACAAGGTCAATGCTTCCTCCATTTTCAGTATACAGTCCCAGGCTCATCGCTACTCAGCACACTGTTCAAGATCTCCAAGGGAAAAGAGCAATTTTCTGGCCTACCCCCATTTTTCTGACATCTCTTCTCCTCTGGAGTTGTTCGTCTATTAATTGGAAATTACAAGACAGAGCAGCCTAGGAAGGAGCTGATGGAGTAGGGGCAATAAGTTTGACCCCAGTAGAAATGAACTGTAGGGGAGTCCCCCTCCCCCCAACACCCTGCTCCCAGGTTGACCAGTTAGCTGTGTCACTGCATCTGGAAAACAACAAAGAACAGATGTTCTGCCCCACTGACAAGTGGTCAGTCCAATGATCCTTGGTTAACAAGATTAGAAAATGTAAGGAAAAGGCAGATTTAAGAAGTTTGCATTAAAAAAWTTTTTTAAAAAACCCTCCCATTTTTAAACAAACCTCACTGAAATGAAGTCCTGGTGTTAGTAGAGACCCCGTCACCCCGAACACCACCAGACCCAGGAAACCCCGGAGAAAAAGGCCAGAAATCGCTTCACAAATGTCAATTTTATTGACACTAGTGCACAACTGAATACAATAATTGTGAAAGAATTGGAACCTGTCAAATAGAAAGAGTGACAACATATTAAAACTGCATCGTTGCAAGGTACTACACTATTCTCTTTTTTWAAAAAATCACAAGAAGGAAAAYGTTATCACTACAAATAGGAATAGAAAAGAGAAATCCTGGCAGTTTGTCTAGAGATCAGAACATTTCATGCATTTGTGAGATGCCGTTGGAGTCCCTTTTTAGTAATCCACCAGTCACCGAGCAGAACCTGGGGCTTACCGTCAGCGCTCGCACTGTGCGTGAGACCCGGTGAGGCGGCTGTAAGTGAGAGCATGCTGGGCCTGGAGTTGGCAGTGACGTGGAACAGAAAAGCATTCATCTCATCATTGAAAGAGTTGGAGCAAGAATAAAAAGTGGTTAGGAGGCTAGCTTGAAGGGGGAGCGGGCTTCGAGGGAGCAGGAACCACGGGCCCCGGATAGCACCCGCGACAGAGAGAAAGCAAAGTGCCACACGGCAACCCGGAAAACCAAGTCACACATCCAGATACAACCTCTTCCACCCTCCGAAGGACAAGGGCGAACACCCTGGCCAAGTCCCACCAGAGAGCCTGGTACAGAGTAGGCTGAGCAGGAAAGCTGACAGACTGGTTCCAGGACAGGTCACCCGCCCAGAAGGGACGACACCTTTCAAAGAAGAGTCGGTTAGACTGGGAAGAACCCTCTCTGCACTAACTGGAGACAGGAAGTGGAAGGCTGAATGTGAGCGTTATGGTCACCTGTGGGCCTTGGCAGGTAGGGGACAGCTCAGGACCAGCCCACAGACAGGGTGACSGATCACTGCATATCACTCCAGTAGCCTAAAGATGCGTGCATCCACTTACATTATATGTGCAATATGCACACTAYGGGAAGGACCAAATTAGGGTGGCCAATTTCCTTTTCCTGAGAGGGGTTTGTGTCTATTCACAGGGTCTACAAAAGGAGAGGCAGTGGATGTACTTAAACTGTAAGACCAATAAATCAATAAACATCCAATAGTCTGAACTAGAAATCTATCAGCAAGACTAAGGAAGGCAAAGGTCCGAATCTCTGACATTCAATTTTGCAAATGTGAGCAGGGGTCATGGCGAAGAGGCCCCCTCCCCTCCTTGTAAGAGAAAACTACTCAAGGCTTTGTAATTTTACAGGTGACACAGTAAAAAAAAAAAAAGAAAGAAAAGAAAAAGAAAAAAAATCACTCATTAATATTCAGTAATGAATGAAATGTGCTGACAAGGTCAATTAGTAGAATTTGGCAGCTTGATGAGTCATTAAAATTCTCTTTTGACTTTGAGCCAGAGTGTGGAGAATACTGGTGTCCACACAGGGCGGTTGTGAAGAGGGTGCTAAAGAAAGCCAATGTCCAAGGTCACAGAGTTATTGGAACTACATGGAATCAATGTTCACTGAAGTAGTCCATTTTATAAAAAAGTCAATGCACGTGGTCCTATMGTTAGATAAGACACACCCGAGCCGATCTGTACAGGACTACAAAGCTTGTTCAGATCTTGTAGTCTGTCACCTGCTTTGAAGGCACAGCCCCAGGCCACCTGGAGAGGAAACTGTGGTGCTACTAAATGAAATGACGAACGCCTTTCTATGTTCATCACTTCTCCTTTACAACGAATTAACACAAAGTAATTTCTTTCTTCAGGGAGCTCTAGGCAAATAATTTAGGGGGAACTCTGGAAGGAAGCACCTGGATTTTAAGGCAATAGGTAGAAAGAAGTTTAAAATGAGTGGGAAAAGATCAGGTACGCCCTGAACCTCTAGAAGTTTCTAATGTGTCAAAAAATATTTTTCCTACTTCCAGAAAGTGCCCTGCTTTTATTTTTTAGGCATTCAGTCCATTTCAGGTTAATAACTCCCAAATCCTTTGCCTCTTCCCCTTAATTTCATGACCACTCCTCCCCCACTGATCTCTAGGAAAGGATCTGAGCTTCTGTTGCCCCAGGGTGGCCAACACCTCCACTGTGGATGCTCTCAAGGGAGGCATTTGCGGTAATTGGCTTTTTAAAAATCCTTCTTAATATACATTTTCCTGTCGCACAAACAATTACAGAACTTCAAAGTAGCACTGCTATATTTATGGATTTCAGTTTATCACCCAGCCTGGAAAYTGCCTTTGCTCTTCTCTCTCTTTTAGATTAAAATGCATTCATCATTCTTCCTCCCAGGTCCTAGGGAGRCTGGACTGGCAGACTCCTCCCAACTCCTCAGCAGGGGTACTGAAATGCCCTGGGAGGACAGCAGGGTACCGGTCAGCCAACTGCCAGCCTTGGGGCCCCTGGGGACCGAGCACCACTTCCTATTGACCATCTACCTCCTGGGCTCCTGCTGAATGTTTAAAAACAAATGCAGTGTTCTGGGAAAGGAAAAAAGTTTCTAATCTACTTTTCAAGTAGTAAAAATGACATTTCAAACCCTTAATTATGCCCTATTTTGTAAATTGGTCAAAAAATTGGTAATCTCTAATTTTTAACTAGGTAAGTGGTCTGTTTCTTGTAAAAGAGGGAAATAGAAAAATCTGGTAATTTAAAAAATAGTAATCCAGCCACTTTGTTAAATATTTGAGAATAATAATAAAAAATGAGGACATTGATTGTTTTCCCAATTTCTCTTTTCAAAACTTCTCCAGTATTCCCTCAAGTAAAATGACTTCCTCCGTCAGCTTCTCATTTATCATGATTTGCCTCCTGTTATTTGGTTTGAAACCAGAGCTTTAATCTATGTACCCAGAATATGTTCCCAAGGCACATGTAGGAAACCCATTAGAAATGTAGGTTTTCATCAATTTTTTAAAAGGCTCTTATAAAATCCACAACCTCTCTCTGAAAAAAGGGGTCAATAAATCTCTAGAGATGATCTATTTTGAAAGCTGGTCATCCAAAGAGATTGGTATCATGCTAAGTCAGAGGTGGTCTGATTTGGGTGGCTGGATGGAATCTAAAATTAAAAAAGCTGGCAGTGTCTGGTGGAAGTGACAAGGTCCCCCGCGAGAAACCAGGTGACGGGATTACCAAGGTCGGTGGTGGTGTCCTCTTCTCAATACCTTAGGCTGTCCAGGGTCATGTGTCTGTGCTTCTCAGACCCAGTTCCTTTAAGAAAAGTTTTTATAGGCCGCTAAGCATCCACTCCACGGCTCATCATCAAGCAATTCAGAAAAGCAACCGGGAGGCGAGGTGCGGGAAAATAAAGAGACAGACGTCACTAATGGAGAAATGTCAGGGAACCACCACAAGCTCGTTCTTGCAGATGGGAAAGAAGGAAAGGAGAATCCTCCTGATTGAAGATGGTGGTGGTCGGGTGGCGGTGAGGTGTTTGGGTTGGGGAACGTGGTGGTGCTTCGTAGCAATGAGAAATACCATCTTGTGCTCGGGACAAAACTTCAGCCATCAGTGGGAAAGAACAGTTACAATGGACAGTTCTTACAGCAAGACACCTGATAGAACAAGTGAAAGCCTCTTCAGTTCAGGTTAAC